TGTATTTAGTTAGCCATTGCTTTAATTAAAATTATTGTATAACCTATATAGTATAGTAATTACATGTAATTGTGAAGACCACCACTTCCCCCTCCAAAAACATATGTATTTGTAAACCTATTTGTAATAATTTTCGTTTATTTACTTTATATCATTTTTAATTATGTATTCGCGTGAACCTTAACTGTATCTTGAATAACAACCGAAGTTGGAGGAAATTCATCTATTTTACCAATCTAGGGACTCCCCTTTCCAAATTTTAATATCAACTTAAATTAATTAGAATAAACCAGTTTATTATCCAACTATCAGAAATCTCACAACATGCCAAAGAAAAGAGGAAGAAGTAATCAAATAATCAAAAATTATAAAAGATATATATAGAAATGGGGAACATTGCATCCCCTCCCTTGTTTTCAGCAATGTTTACATGAAGAACTTAGTCAAAGCAATCAATGAACAAACAATGACTAAGAGCAAAGATGAGTCATGTCAACTCAGAGATAAGAAAACACCAACTCAGAGATGACTCTACAAAAGCTTGACGTCACCAAATAAGAAAACACTGCCTCAGCTACAATGATGACACTGCCAATGAATTATCACCCGATGATGAATTTTCTCATGCTGGAAGGGTTTAAAAGGAGAGCTCCAACCAGATAAAGTTCAGTTAGAGATGGGGACACAGTCCAGTTACAAAGAGTTAGAAAGAGACAGTGAGATAGTCAGCAGTTGAGGACACAGCTCCAGCCAGAGAAAGGCAGTTGAGTTGCAGACACTGTCACAGAAGGAGTTGCTGCAGAACGAGTTGGAGTCGCAGTCACAATCAGACAGACAGAGATCCAGAGAGTGAAACCAGACGAGCACCAGAGCAAGAGTGGTTCAAGAGAGGACGACTCAAAAACAAGCAAGCACAAGACAAAGTGCAACGAACGCCAGAAACCTCCGCAGTCTTGGCCGTCAGGTCCACATCACAAGAGAAGACATCTTGTTTACCTGGTATGTTGTGAGTCGCGTAAGTTCGAATACCCCCCGTTAGGTACTCCCTCGTTGTATAGATAAAAATAGGCATATTTTCAAAATCAGGTTTTATAATTCTGTTCTAAACTTTCGTTTATGTTAATAAATGCCCTTAAATTGGTTATATCTGACACTGCATTCTTCCTCCTGAGAGGCTCATTCCTGGACTTTGGAGTGACTCTTACCCTCGTGCCTTAATCATCCATTTCATCTCAAACAGCAGTGTGTTCGATAAAACACATCTGGTGGCAAGACTCTACTCAAAAAAGTGCATAATAAATCTTTACGGCCCCCTGAACCCCACAACTGATGACTCTGTCTTCCTTGTAAGATACAGTATGGCATCTGTATGTTAAGACAGAAGAGAAACAATGTCTCTGGTTGAATTGTTGATAATATGCTGATTACTCAGAATGATTAACCAGGACAAAATTCCAAATCAATGTAGGGACTACTCGACAAGAAACCAACTTCCTTCTCTAAGAGTCGAGAACTTGGAGCAGGTTTATCCATGTAACGCTCCATTATTCTTGTTAGACGAGGTTCTACATCGCCTAACAATAGGCGCTGTCCTGGATCACCAGCCCGACATTCTTCCATTAATTGCCAGCAATCATCATCAAACTGAGGTAATCTTTCTGGTCTTGCACCTCTCCGAACAGCATTCCATAATGATCTTTACTTTGGCATTGCTCAAAAACATAAGGCAATTTTACATGACCTGCATAGATGTACCAAAATAAAATTCCAAAGGCATAAACATCAACACTGTTGTCATATCGTCCACTGAAAAGTTCTGGTGCCATGTGAATAGGTGTACCAACAATACTTCCAGACATCATTGCTTCTGGTTTACAAAAACCTAAATCAGTTATTTTGGCACGATTTCTTTTATCCAACTAAAAAATACATTGGTTTTTATTAATATAAAATTTTATTATATTTTTACATTCAAAAATAATATGTTCATATTTTATATTCAATTAATAATTTAAATTTTTTTTTAAATCAAAGAAGATTAAAATATAGTGATAAGTGAGAAGAAATATAAGTAATTTGTATAATAAAATATGCTTGTATAGAAGAGTAAATTTTTCTGTTGATAAAATTAAAATTATTAAAAACAAAAATTATTAAAAACAAAATACAAGATAAAAACATAATATAAATTATAAGTAACAGCAAAAAAAACTTCATAATAATATAAAATCTTATAAAACAAAGTATCTTATTGCCAAGGAATAAGGATAGATATTAAAAAATTTTTTTGATAGCAACATTAGAATTACTTGACTGTTGTTATTTGTCATGTTTATTAATAAAGAAATTATCATATTTTAAAAAGTGTCTATATTTGAGCAAAGACTGAACATTAAATTCTGTTGTTGACTGAAAAAATATTTCAGAAACCTTGCAATATTAAAAAGAGGAGATAAAGATAACAAATTTATATTAAGATTTTATTATTATGCATAGCCCTGAAACATCAAAAAAATAATCTAAGAGTGCATACAAAGTTGCAATTTTAAATACCAGCTAATAAAAAAATGTAGAATGCTCTTTTTTATTAGATAAGAAAAAAAATATAGAATCTACATTGTTTTTATTCAAAACTGAGAAATCTGAAAATGGAAATACTTGTTTAAATATCACTGAATTAAAAAGTGTTAGTAAATTTAATTTATAGTTAATCTCAACTGTGTTCCTTAATATGAATAGGCTTGATATGCATGGGACCTGCCAGTATAGTATGAAACTAAAAAATAACCTTGTAGACCTAAGTCTTACAAAAAACAAATCACAAATCTACAGTGGGTAATAATCAAATTCTCTTGGCACTAAGGTAATGTATTATTTCATAACTATCTGGCTAAGACATTTACATTTATTCAATTTTATAACTTGATGCTATAGTTAAATATTTATAGTGAAATTATTTTTCATGCCAAATGAATTTGAAGAAAGCAAACATTTTAAAATAAATATTTTTAGATAAACATTTCTCCACATTAGTCAAATTTAGTAATTAGTTGAAATGATGAATTGTTCTATAAATGGTGTCTGTAATTTCCCCGCTGTTTCATAACTTTCTACTGGGTCTGTTGCCCATTCAAATTTACCAGAATGTGGAACGTCGTCCATTGGTCCAGATTATGACCAATCTCAATAAGCCATGATTCTTCCACAATACTTCCCCAGCCAAGAATCAAACTGCACTCAACATGAGCCTGCTTGATGACTTTTGTCACACAATTACTGTACAAAATGTAACCATACAAATAATATAGTTTGACAAACCACAATAAGCAAACTCTATTAGGCACACGCACTGACCCATCTTCCTTCCAATACAACTGAAAAGTCACCCCTCGCAAATGCACAGAGATGCTATGTGCTACGCTCGCCTGATGGATGATCCTCTCCTGCATCGACGGAGAGGATCATCCATTCCAGAGGACTTCATTACCCATCTCCATACGAGAGAGCACGTCCACACCACCGAGTAGGTTACACATACTACAGGAAGCATGCACTCCGATACACTATGCTGGATCAGGCCCACACCTAGCAATTCTTTCATCTACCTTATCCCATAATGATTGTGGGATATGGTATGGTACGAGCCATTTTGGTGCCACCCCTTCAGTTAGGGTAATCTTGTATGTCAATAGATCGGTTTTCCCGGGTTTACTCCCGAACACTGACTGATACTCTTATTGTGTTGCATATGTCCTTCCGTGCCAAGGGCAGGAGGTGTAGAGTTACTCCATTAACAGCTTTAACTGCTCCATCTTTGCATTCATAGTTGTCTGGCTGGCACATCGCTGGGTATTCTATTATTTCCCCAAAACTACTATTGGAATCGAATGCCACACAGATAGTACAGATCTGTTTCTGGTATTTCCTAAGTCTATCTACATGAATCCATTTTGTCCTTCCGTCTTCTAACTTTATTCTATGACTACCCTCGTGTTCTCATCTTTCTTTTAACAATTTAAAAGACAAAGTTCACCATTTTTATTCTGTGTATAAGACAATACAATCCTGGTGACCGACCTTCCTTTTTAGGCTACTAGCCGCCAAAACGCTAAAAAAGTTAAATTGTTAAACGAAAATGACCATCGGACGAAAAGAAATTATGAATCAAAATTGTAAAATATCGTCACCAGGGGGAGACGTTCCAAAATCTACATTTTCCAGCGCTTACTACTTCGTGGATGTAAAGCCGGAACACCCCAAGAAGGTTAGATGGTTTAAAGAAGACGTTCGTATGTCACCAATTCCTATTTTAGAAAAATTTATATTTTTTAATTGGAAAATCTGTTTTTTTTTAAAGGACTTTTTTAGCGTTTTGGTGGCTAGTAGCCTAAAAAGGAAGGTCGGTCGCCAGGATTGTATTGTCTTATACACAGAATAAAAATGGTGAACTTTGTCTTTTAAATTGTTAAATGAAAATGACCATCGGACGAAAAGAAATTATGAATTCTCATCTTTCTATTACGGCAGGCCCTTCCCACCGGTCATCAGATTTATTATCAGGGTATGTTTTCCTCACCAGAATCTTATCTCCCATGCTCCTGTTACTCTATGGGTGTTTTGGTGTTGAAAATCTGATGTGCACGCCTAGAATTTGGGTCATCTCTGGCATTAACCCTGCCATAAAATTAGTCCTTTGGTCACAGCAGATTTTGGCACACAGAACATTTTGTCAAGCATTGGCACTCTGATTACAGATGCCATTTATAGAACATTTCATCATTTTAATTAATTACCAATTTGACTGGTAATTTGAAATCCATTGGGTTTTTCCTGCATAGGTTCGGATCCTGCTGACTGCGCCAGTCAAATTTAGTAATTAGTTGAATGATGAAATGTTCTATAAATGGCACCAGAGTGCTGATGCTTGACAAAATGTTCTTATCCCGTAGAAGTCCGTTCAAGAAAGTCACCTTACAACGAGATGGCACTTCCAGGAATCACCACTTGTCAATGACCAGATGAAGATACAGCCTTATGTCAGTAATTGGTTCCAGGAGAGGCGACTAAGTTGAAAAACGACGTAAGTCGAATTTACTCGTCATTAGGCTAAACCACAAATAACCATTCCCAGTTCTGTATTTTATTTATAAATGCATTTTTAATAACATATTGTTAATAAGAATCTATTTTAAGCTTACAAACAAATAAATTTTAGTTTTTAAATAGTACAGAAAAAAGTAATCTAAATTTATAAATTCATGTACTGTACATACAGTACTGTACATACAGTACTGTACATACTTGTAAAGGTACATACAGTACTGTACATACTTGTAAAGGTACATGTTTACAATTTGGTAATGTTTACAGTACATTGCAGACTATTTGTGAATGTGGTTTGCTCTAAGACATTATAAAATAAGATGATTTTGTAAGGTTAAATAACAAATACAGTTATTAAAATTATCTTGCGACAGTAAAAAATAAACTAATTTATATTAAATTTACCAATATCGAGTGGTGCCGACGATGATGCCAAACGGTAAATATTGGAGCTACTATGGAAAACACCAATATTGAGCACTTAAGATAACCGCTAAATAAGATGACAACACAGAAACACAGATGTTTTCATGTTTCGTTCTCTAGGATTTATGACGATTATATTAACATTTACTGTAAATATACATATTTTAATATGATTTTGTGCACTTTAATGCTTTTCTAGTGATATTACGACTTCAATGTTTGTGGCGGACAGATGTAAAGTTGAATAAAATGACTTAAACTTGATTTTTATTTTTCCATATATTTTTTTGACAAACAATGTATAATCAAGAACGACATAACTCGAAACAACATAACTCGAAGTATACCTGTACTCATTCATCAGAAGATGAAGAAAACCATTTGATAATTCCTTTCCTTCGGCAAGCTAAACTTCTTAATGAGACCACAACAAACTCAACTTTCCCATCTAAACTGATCTATATATGTGCTTCAGCGGGCTGACGATTGACCAATCAGCTTCTCCGCTGTTTCATAGCTTTCTATCAAGTCTGCCGTCCATTCAAATTTATCAGAACGTGGAAGTCGCCCATTGGTCCAGATTCTGACCAATCTCGATGAGCCACGATTCTTCCACGACAACATTAAATCTGAATATTCAGTATATGTAGAATTATATATTATGAATTACAAATTCAATAATAATTAAAGGAGACCATTCCACATCTGAATTGTTCTATCATCAAACAATTTAAATTTCACAAGATGTATCTTGTCAAGAGACTTCAAGTTTATAGCAAGTTTATGCATAAATGTTATCCATTTATGAAATCCACAGTATGAACTCCAGCCAAGATGGCAACAACCATGTGAACATTTATGATGGGCAATCAATTTGGGGCTTTGTTTAACTATCCCAGGTTGACACTTATAAGAGTCTCAGTTAGCATTGTGTAACATTCCAGTTGCAACTAAGCTGTGAACTAACATGACCATTGGGGTGCATGTAAGTCTCTAATTTATTGTTGTCAAATCACATGTTTTATCACTATCCTTCACACAACAAAAATTGCATCTTGTTTCCACTAATAAATGCATCTGGTAGTGGAAATGCATTCACTGATAAAATATAAATAAAATCTATTCTAATATGTTTGCATCAGCATTGAATCCTTTGAAAAATTATTATTAAAAGCCGTATTTATATCATTAATAATTTTTCCATATAGATAGTAACCTTCAAAATTCCATTGCCAAAATATTATAAGATATGTTGTGCTTGCTAAAAAGAATTCAGTTGATCATTTTGTCACCTGAGTCCAAATACAGGATAAGCATGTGTGATGATGAATTGTTGTCACATATCTCATAAGG